ACACTCAAAGTAACATGCAAGCATGCAACGTCACATTATAAAAACTTTTTTAAACCATTTCTCTTTTCAGATTCATTTTAATCACGGTAGATCGATGCAAAGTTTTCAGACTAAATTTGTTTTAGTCATTTTTTCCGGTAAAATAGACCTGAATTATTACTTTAAAAAAATAACGGACAAAAATTTCGGTAAGCTGCGAAGCACTCGATCTAGAAAGTAAGTGAAGGAAAAAGTGCCATGTTTTATATGGAGTTTCAAAATGTTTTGGGCGCGGCCCTTCACAAGTTGACTTGCTAGTACGTTAGAACTGGTCCAAGGTGTTTATGACGCTATGAATTAAGAAATAAAGCTTTGTAGTGCGCGCGCGGCGGCTTTGCGCGCGGCCTACAGGAAACGGAAGTTGTAACTGCCTACAAAATAAATTCCTTCAGCGAATCCACTTCTCCTCAGTTGTGAAAGCTGCATAAAGGCATCACTCACTCTGACGTGACTGAAAACACAGAGGAACAGCTCCATCGTCGTTTCAATTTTGCAGAAGACTTTTGGTAACAACTGAGAATGAGATAATCGACGAGGTCGACTACATTTGTATCATTACGAAAATTCGTCCTTTTATAAGAAATAAACCACTTTATACTGAAGGATAAGTAATACTGCATGCTAATTTATCTCTGACTGTTTGCGTTTACTAGATTTTTCCGCCAGATTCCTCTCTGCATTAATGAACTGGACATGGCAGGACACGTTTGATGTGATGAGTGTTATTTGGTTGACTGATTATTGCTGCATGGCTTTATACCTCACCATTCAGTACGTTACAAATATCATCACCAAATGCAGGTGAAGGTGCACACGGCTTAAATACACATTTACACTATTAAAGAGTTACTACAATCCTATTCAAAACTCTTGGGACGCTAAGGCAATAGCTGCCTTCGAAATAATGCATTTCCCTACTTCTTCCATGGTGCAGTGTCGACGTCATGAATTCGCGTCTTTTTCATGACAATCAACATTACTTGGGGAAGAGGGGGCCGCCGCGGAAATAGGCTCTTACAACCAGTTCATTCCCAGGCTTTTATACTGGGGGAAGTAGATTACGAGCTAGCCTTGTCCGTCTCTTCTTGCGACCATTCTTTAAAACGACACTTTTACTGATTACAGACACCTTTTTTCGTTCCAAAAATTTGAAATTTCATTGAATCCTTAAAACTTGACAACGAACAACGCTGCACCTTGCGCCACAGACGGAAATAACCTTCTGGTTAAGTCCGTCAGCGAAACAGTGCGGAAAAAGTGTTCTGGGCCGTAAAGTGTTTACCAAGATTTGAGAACGCGCCATAATTGAAAAGTTCAAAAAGCCATCGCCAATAGTGCCAATCGGGTGAAGGGAAATTCGAAACGCATTTCCAGTAATTCAGTGGGCACTTTCCATCAAACCCAAAATTTCGGAAATTTCGATTGTTACATCCAATGGAATGGACCATTTCGGTTTGGTCCGACCGGAATTTAAAGGTGCATGGTCCACTTTGACCGGTCTGGTCATTTTGGTCGGTCGGAACGAAATGGCCCTTTCCATTTGACCAAATTGTTTCCCTCAGATCTCCTCAGTACCGCACTTTTGTATACTTCTTACAAGAACAATAACTAAACGCGCGGTGGCTTAGGTCGGGTCTGTGCAACAGTAGCGTTCCATTGGGCACGTGGAATTTCCGAAATTTCAAACCGGAATTTTGTTCAACAGAAAGCGCCCATTGAGTCCGTTAGTGGCTCATAATCTGCTTCGAGGACGTTCCTAAGGGACCGGTTATTATTTATCGCCGGGGGTGGGGGGGGGGCAGGATATTGGACTAAACAAGGTGAAATTTAGCCGATCCTCCCTTTGAATGTTACTTCACTGAAGTGATCCCCCCTAATAACTTTTGATGATTTTCGCGATCCCCCCCGCCCCCCATGCCTTCATTTTCCAAGCAAATTTGGGTGGTCCCCCCTCTGAATCCTTCCAAACATTTCAGTGATTCCCCCCTTTTGGATTATTAGTTACGACTGATCCCCCCTTTTGTTCTCCGAAAAATCAAGTGATCCCCCCTAAAATTCTCCCTTCCCCTGTCCCAGGCGATAAATAATGACCGGTCCCTAACCGAGGTTAGATTACGTCCGCGACCCAGGCTAACGACTCTCTAATTCAGACACAAGGCTATGACCCTCTCAGGTTTCCGGCATGCACTGCAAGATAACAGTAGCCCAACAACTGTGGTTTTCAAAACAATTTCTTTTCATATCCTATTTATTTCTCACAATCTATGCTTTCTCTTTCGCTAATTCTGTTAGTTATTCTGTTGTATCTAACGTTTCCCTTACAGATTGCTCTGTGAAATTCGCAAACGCGGGCAAGAGAAAAAATGCGACTGGTTACGTCAAGAGAATCTACGCGAAGGAGCAGCTCAAAAGATACCATGGAGACCGAAACCACCTAAAAAGAAACAAACTAACTATTGTAGCAAATAACAAAAATAGTACCTTTGATCGCAATTATGAAGGACAAACGCTTTCTTGTTATATTATTTCGTATTTGATTCATGCTATTTTCCAAGATATCCTTTGTATACTACGTAAATAAGTGTATGACTTGTTTTCATATATTGTCAAGTGAGTGAGTTTGGACTTGCGGCCAGGAATATGAAATTAAAGCTTCTTACCACAACAAATTACCTTAAGTGGGTTTCGCTGAGAAAAAAATACTTCCTTTCATTGCTGGATTATGTATCTGACATTCCTTTCTAGATCTCTTCACTACAACATCTCAACAACAATAATATTACCTTAATATTGCCTTATTTGCATATAGATCCCCAAAGTCGACCAATTTTTGCAAACGTTTGGTGCTTCCCACAATACAAACGTCTGTAAAATTTTGCGACTTTAGAGGCTAATATGTTTGTTCTTTTTCAATAAATCATTTAGGAACTTTGGGCAATGTTTTTCTTCCTTAGCCCATTTTTCACCGATGGGATGGATTCTCACTAACTGTTCCACGTCAACAATTGAAAAAATCGTTGAAGAGTCTATTGTGGAATGAACTTCCGTTTGCAGAGCTAGTCGTGGATCAACTTTCATTAGTATTTTTTTAATCAAGGCTGAAAATATTTTTAGCTAAAGAAGCGATATTTTCCACGTTCGAACGTATTTTTATAGAGAGTGTACTTAGAACATAACAGACACGCAGGTGTTTGCGCTAATGTTAATCCCTAATAAAAAAAACGTTTTTGCTTTTTACAATCTATTCAGATAAACAACACCTTGCGCTAGAACAAATAACTAATCAATTGCGGCAGCTTTGTTAAAATGAAATACGACGGAGATATTTAAAAATTTTTTTTAAAGGTATTAAAATAATTGAAACCTTTTGACAGAAAGTGTCTATTATTCGCCTTTTTTTTGCCACCCAATTTTTGTCGCTCCAGTAAGAAACCTTACATAAAAAAAATAAAAGCAATGTACCACAATTATCCTACATTATCATACAGTCCAAGTTAAGAGATAGGGCAAGATATATGGAAAGATATACCTAACGATATATGAGCGATATATTTATTTTATTTTATATTTTATTTTAAACAATATTTATTCAGGGGTGCCCAGTCCAACGAGGCTGGTTTGAATGGGGCCCTGATGAAAAGAAAGCCAATTTGTCAAAGAAGACAAAACCACTAACAAAAGCGATTCGATACATACTAATGAAACCCTTCTTTCTAGCAATCGGCTAGAGCTTTCTCCATGACCTCTCACACACGTTTTTAAAAAGATTGAAACTACTATGAGGTGAAATTGCATGTTTTTACTGTATTTCTAACCATAAAAATATCATCCCAAAATATCTCAATAACGCTCTTACAGATTTCGCTTAAACTTCACGAACGTCGAGGCCGCTAATGGAGGAAAAAGCTCCCTTGAACGATTTTGGAAGAACAGTTCACAGTCCCGAGATATACTGCTGCAAGTAAAATAGGTAATAGCGTCATTTCGTTGCTATGACAAATTCGATGTCGTTGGAACCCTAATCATAACAAATTTTTATCTTTACCTAATACAACTGTGGTGCCAATTTTTCCAAATCTTTGAATATGGCTACATAGTTAATGTTTAAACTTGGGAGGTATTGACCCTGAGAAAACTGTATCGAGCCACCTAAAAAATTAAAAGAAATGTACCATAATTTATCATACATTATCATACAGTCCAAGTTAAGAGACAAGGCACGATATATGGAAAACTATACCTAACGATATATAAGCAATATATGAAAGTCAGTGATTGTGCTCACGTTGTGGGCGGCTCCTTCTAAAATGTTCTACATGTTTCTTGGTATAGGATTTAATGGAGCCGAAACGAATTGTGGAATTGCACACATTTTAGGCATCCTATTGATGAACAGTTGCGACTTTAGATATTTCGAGCAACAACAATTTGCCGTCTGTCCTCTTTGAATTGGAATGAATACATTTATCGAAAGGACAAGGTTAACGATAATATACTCAGAGCTCAATATTTCATGATGATCCTATTTACTCTGCCGCACTGTCCAACTTTCTTGTGGCGCACTCTAACGTTTGAAGCCAATCTAGTTTTCGAGCTTAAACCAAAATTAATATCACACCATCCTTTCCTATTTGCTTTTATTTTACGGTCCATAGTACACATAACTCGTGAAGTATTCAGTAACCCGCATGATGAATCAACGACCTTCGTTACCTTAACTAATACTTAGCATATTTTGAATAATATAAAACTGTTGTTCATCTATTTACTCGGAATAACCTCTATCATACGTTTATCTGAAACTCGTTTAAAAATAGTCCTGCATTTTCTGTGACAAGCAATCTTTTTATTATCTATTTCTTCCAATCGTTCTACTTCTGAAAACAGCCAACAAGCAACATTTTTCTTCAGAAGTTTTTATTGTTTGGCTGACTCTTAATCGGCAGGTGCCGGCAGTTCTCTTAGTTTTGAAACGGTTTACGCAGTATGTTAATCATGGCCTGCCGAATGCGTCTCATCTTCCAGCAGTAAATCAGTGGACTCAGAGAGGAATTGAGTGCAAGTAAAATAGTAAGGTAGAGGTTTACTTTATACCCCAATGAGGTTCGCTCAGTACCAATTACATTTTCGGCAATATTAAAACAAATTATTGGTAGGTAACAAGCCATGAACGCTAGATACACATAAAATACGCCGAATGCAGCTTTTCTCTCCCTTGTTGCATTTATCGCTTCATTCCTCTCTCTGCTTTCAACTGGCACGTCTTCAACTTGAGTTGCGTGTTGTCGTAAGGCTAAGAAAATCTTGAAATAAAACAGGCCTACGGTGATAAGACTGATGAACTGAATAGTAACAGTCAAAATGAAAAATATGTCTTCTGGGAGCCACTCACGAAGTCCAATCAAAGGAAGGACGGCACTCAACAGCCAAAATGAAATGACCCCAGCAATGGCGCGTTTATGAGTTACCGCATCCTGGTACCGGAGCTGAAGGTGTATCACCAAAAACCTGTCAGCACTCAAAGCCACGATGCTAAAAAACGAAGCATACGTTAGGACGTTGGCCACGAATCTGTACGCTTTGAATACAGCTTCATAGTGATCAGGCCAGATATGCGGCGGAGAAAGAATATTTATGTTACTAACAAGGAGATAAATTTGCAGTGGCTGCGCTACTAAACCAACACCAAGGTCGGAGAAAGACATACTGAGGAGCAATGTTTTCAGAGTTTTTCTTGGTAACGAAGGAATCTTTCTTAGCGCGAGTATTACTAAAACGTTTAGCACTACGGCGGTAAAAGCTAAGATGGAATTCAGGATGCAAGCGACGAGTGTATTGTTGTAGAGGTCCAAGTGGTGCATTCTTTTCCTTGGAACTGGACGCTCTTTTGAGTCTACTCTGCCAGTAAAAGTTCAGTCGGTTTACGTTCAAAGCGATGAATACTTTAAAATATATGATTTGTTTGTGCCTATACAGATACCCCAAACCACGTAATAGCGCTGAAAAAAGACATGACTGAAATGATTGTAATGATTGTTTAATTAATTTAATTAATTTTATTGACCTTTGTCTTCTTTTATCATTGTTATATTCTTATTGTCATGTACTTGGTTTATAATTTTGTAATGTAAAATTGACTCTGAAAAGCCCCGTGGGGACGAGCCAATAAAGTATGTATGTATGTATGTATGTATGTATGTTTGATCTGTAATGGTCCACTAATGACAGGCGAGAAAAATAAGAACCGTCAATTTTCGGAGTGAGTTTTGCCTGTATTTGCGTTGTTCATTTCGTTTTTCTCTGTATTTATAGGAGACCGAGATGAATTATGTCAAATTTGGCAGTACAGGTGTGTTGGGTAGTTTTCAGCTGAATCGTGCTGTTTTTAAATTAAACGCCCACTAAAAATATGTCACCGACCAGTATTAAGTTAAATGACGTCCCTCAATATACTAAACACACCACCAGTCATTTGATATCTTATTGATATATTCCTTGATAGTCCTGATCATGAATTGGCTGGATAATCGTGGCGATACGGACTGATAATACTACGGAAGTCACCTACCAAAAAATTAATAAAGGCGTTATCTTTTGTTGTAGTAATCGTATTCCCCTGTTCCTGTTTGAGCTTGTGTGTTTAACGATTAACAAAACTTTATCCACCTTGTTCGTTAGTGGTCTTGGATATTGCCAAGCTTTTTTATATTGTGTTATAAAATGCTCGGTTCCATTTTTTTCTTCTTAAAAGGTCACCACTGAAAATGCTCAGATGACGCTTATCATACAGAGCCATTTAATTTATTCTAAACGTTTTAACAGAGTGTTAACGTAACAAAAACAAATAAGTAGTTAAGCAAGGTTAAAGACGTTTATTGGATGGTTTCAGCTGAACTTTGCTATTTTTAAATTAAATGCCCAACATTTCTCATTTTGTCACCGCCGCTACAAAATTTTCGTGTTGTTCTTCCAGCAAAAAATTTCTCCTTTGTATTTTGTCTGTCGCCTTTTTTCTCGTTGAGCTTCGCTGGCCTGCCGCCCAGTTTCTCTTTTACTCTCTCTTTCTCTTGCTCTATATATATTCCAAATTTGTGGACATGACAATTAATCTAAGTTTAATACTTTAGATAACACGGATACAGAAACAATTTCTGCTTTCCGTTTCGTCTTTATTGACTCCTTAGTTGTCTCTGCTTTACAAGACGCCGGTGTCTATGCTTTTTCCCGCCAAAATAACCTCGAGTTGCATTTGGGTTGCCATGTCTGTTGATTGAGTTATTTTACATTGGTATGCCTCTGGTGCGGACGGACGGTCGGGAGGGTGTACGGTCACGTGATTACCAAATTTTCTCGGATGGGTAGATTACTTCATTTTCTCACCCATGGTGCTTCGAGCGCGAGAGCTTCGCTAAAAAAAGGAAAAGTGCACCTAGCAAGTTTATGAATTATGATAACTTTTTCTAACTAAGAAACTGAAAATCACCAATTTCATGCATGCAAAAATGTACCTGTGTAACAAAAACATTTGTTAGCTAGACCAACCAAGATTTGTAAGAGAGGCATGAAATCCAATAGACTAAATTGCGATATTTTTTTCCGATATCCTTAAAGTAATCCAGAACTACAAAATTCCTACGGAGTTTTCGGAAGATTCCATTTTGGCTTGCTTCTCTACGGCAAAAAAAAGTGAGAGATTGTGTTAAGAAACCTTTAGCCTTTACCCATAACGCTTTAGATAAAAACGATTCATGACCTGATTTTACTCCAAAGATTTAAGGAACGTCCCTCCTAGGGAAGCTATGTCACCGCGGAAAATAATAAAACCAATATCAGACGGGCTGGGAATGGCCACACAATTGGACAAAAATTAAACACAACTGTTACCGCCAATTCAAAAGGAGGCACGAACGGAGAAAATTGAACAAGATTAAAACGGACTGGAATCGGGTTTTAAAAAGTGTTACAGTCAAACCAAGTCAAGCGTACCCCCCAAGATTCTTTTAATGAATTGATTATTTGAAAAACGAATCCGTTAGTCGTTCCCGTAACTGGTGTCAAATTCAAAGCGGCATTTCTGCATGCGTAATGGCAGTGAATATTTTACGAGAACTTCTCTGTATTTGGTCAGATTGGAAATCTTTGAATGGATTAAGCTTCTTAGAAGACCTTTACATCAATTTCAGGAAAATGGAGCGGGTAGAAATTTCATAACTGCCCCGCGCGCGAATTCACAGCTCATTACACATGCAAGAATGCAGAGATCAATCTGAAATCTGCAACTAGCAACGGATTCAACTTTTGAATAATAAATTCATTAATTTATTCTTGAGGGGTACGCTTGACCTGGTTTGACTGTAAGCCTAGCAGCTTATTCCTATTGTTAACCTAGTTGTAACTCTAATTGTAATGCTTAAGAGACATATCCGTTTGTTACGCACTAAGCTGTGAATTTCTAATTCTCAGGGACTGATTTAAGACGGAATCCACCAGGACACATGAGTAATTTTGATTTTCAGTGGACAAAAATCTTGTACCAGAATGATTTAAAGAATATTGCATTCTTTCTTACATTTTTTAAGGGCTAAAGGTCCTAAAGATGTAATAAATCATCTGCATATAGTCACACCAAAAAAAAATTCTTATAAAAGCTCGCGAAAATGAATGTCAAATTTCACAAGAATTGTGATTACACAGGTAAAATTCTGAAAATTTCATGTGTAAGATGTAATTTTGCACTATTTGACATTCATTCTCGCGGGCTTTTGTAAGAATTTTTTTGTGTGTTACTACAGATGATTTATTACATCTTTAGCCCTTGAAAAATGTAAGAAGGAATGCAATATTCTTTAAATCATTCTGGTACAAGATTTTTGTCCACTGAAAATCAAAATTACTAAATGTCCTGGTGGATTCCGTCTTAATTTCTTCACGTACATTACGTTCCATAGCTAGGACAGGTCAGTAATTGGCGATATTAAACAAAATGGTCTAGACTACCATAACACTCTCTATTGTAGCCCGTGAGTAAGCTCCCCGGGGCGCTCTGGCGGCGGGGCGGAAAAAGGAAGGAGCAGGGCGGAAAAAGGTTGGGCGGTGAAACGAGCGCTCCGCTCTTCATTTAATGTGTGATGCGGAGTAGGACTGGCACGAGCGCTCTTTCCGCGCTTCCGGTGCGCTTGAAGGCCGGCGAAATTTTCCTTTTTGCAAACCAGAAATCCTATTTTCTTTCTGTAATTTCAGGCTACAATGTTAAATAGATAAATTCCATTCATAACAATATCAATAAACAGTTTCATATTTTTGTGTCTGTACGTCTATAAGTCAAACTTGGGGGTCGTATAATGCCAAAATTTGAGTTTAATTTGAAAGTGTTGAATACTTCCTCCTTCCACCTAATCGTCTTTCGCAGTTTCGTTTGCAAAAGCTTAACACTTCTTAACCTCAATTTTCACATATGTTAAAGTGGGATAAATTTTATACAACATAACAAAAAATTAGTGGAAAAAAAATTGATATAGTGGCGTTGTACTTTTTTAAACTTTGCTTCTCGGGTGCAACGCGCCATGGCGATTCGCGAAATGCGTTGCAAATCCGGCAACGGCATGTAAACAAAATTTATTGAGGTTAGTTGTAAGGTTTTTTCTCCGTTTTTCTCTCTAAAACAAAACAAGGTAAACAGTAAAAACTGAGGGGAAACTAATTTTGAAGATTCGAAGAAACAGAAAGACGTATAAGATGTTTTTTTCAAAATTAAAAAGAAGGATGATGGTGATTGAAATTAGCATAATTTCACCTTGCACGAGCTGCACGCATATATAAGATACACGTCATCTAGTTATAAAACACGATCTGCTGTCTTTTAGTTTTGCCATGGATGACATGGATGAGATTTTCCTTCGTGTTTTAGACAGTACTTAGTTGTTTTTGTTTTGGAATAACATCGACATTGGCGAGTGGCAGAACGAAAATATAATTCAGTGGTAGAGTCATGGAAGTAATAAAAGAAACCCTTTGAAAGAGATGTTTTTCTACTCCAACTAAACCTCCCGCAAAAAATAGCAACATTTGCCTCTCGGAGACAACGTAGCAGCACAAAGGAACGAGGAAGAAGTGCAAGAAAACAAATCAAGATGCCATAATTCAGTGACAGCGGCAGTGTCCAATGTACAAACCACATCGCAAGCCCTGACCGAAGTCGAAAACAAGTGTCATTTCTAAGCAGAGTCCCAGTCCACTGCATCACACCTTTTTGCTCGGACGCGCTCGTTTCACCGCCCAACCTTTATCCGCCCTGGGAAGGAGAGTTGGCAACTACGGGAGCTTTGCATCCCAACAGGAAATTCCGCTTGAGATGTAAATGAACTACTGCAACTACTGGAAAAATCAAGGGAATAACTGGAAAATTGAAAACGTAGTCCTGTTTTCGCTTTGGAAACTTTCCAATGGAAATGCATGTTCCATTTACGAATTTTCGAAAGGAATCAGCAGTTCCAGGCTATTCACGGCGATATCTGTGCCACCATCTTGAATTTTGGTGACGAGACCATTTCAGCGAATGGAACTTGTGTCAAATTCACACGTTCTTCTCTCGATGGACCTTTCCATGGAGGTTTCTCAAAGTGTTTGGTAAATGGAAAGCGCCCTACGTCTCTGGAGTTTGAATTCCACCTCCAATTCCCCTGTGGCTCCCCGTCGACTGATCTGTCAGATTTCCGCCATTCCGCGCAAAGCGGAAACGACCGCGTATATAAACAAACATTGAAAAACACGAGCTAAGGGTAATGACATCATTACTAAATGTCATCTCCACCAATAAGTGTTTCGCATCGACGTAGTTGCAAGCTCTCCATCCTTTTCCCGCTCCGCCGCCAGAGCGCCCCGGAGAGCTTGCTCCCACACTATATCTAGTGAGAGGCCCATGAGAGTTCTTTCATGCACTGGGTTTCACTTTGTAGAGAAAGGGCTCTATTACAAAGCTTCAGAACTAGAGGCTGTGGGATTTCGGCATTGTTTTTTAGTCTTCAAGACGGCAATGAAATGCTTGTTTACCAAAATATATCTTTTGCTTTTCCAGGTGTAAATGGCAATATGGTCGACATCAAACAACATCTCTCGTTGCGCAGTAAAATCGTTATAATGAACAGTTTACAAATATGTTTGATGTTGTAACCATCACTAAGATCATAGAGCGTCACTTTATTATTAGCTTTTAAAAAATGACACAAAGTAGAATTTTTTTCTTCAGTCTTTTTTTTCCAACTGCACAAGTTGCGTCTGCAATGATCTTTTCTATACATTTACTTCTTCATTCCACGTACGGTTCAAATATATGAAATTCATATATTTATCACTTGTAGAAAGTGATTACTGGAAAACCCCCATTGCTTTAATTTTTTATTTCCAAAAAAGTCTCAAACATCGACCATGAAGACTTAACGAACTTTAAAACGTTGTGCGTCATAAACTGGATCCGTGAAAACGTACAGTGATAGCTTACGATTTAGAGAGACACGTAAATGTTTACCAAGTTTTTTGGCAGCCGAATAGGGTTTTTGTGTTGACGTTGGCGATATTTTAAGTTGTTCTACCCATGTGTAATTCTTTCATAGCAAACACAGTATGTCCAAACACAAGTGAAAGTGGCAATTATTGGATGAGACTGAGCCGGTATAATGTGAAGAATTACATAATTTATGTAAGGTCCCCGTTCATACTTTTGTGAGTGCACGACTTCAAAGTAGTGATGTTTCTTAGACAATTCGGAGCTTACGCTCCTCTGTATTAGTGAGGCCTTTTTTCCATTTAACCCTTGTGTCAATCACAGCAGAACCAGGCTGCTTGCGCTTTTCAAAGTCTTCCCCCACCACTTTATGTCCACCAGCAGATTTAGTCATAGGTCTTATTACTTATTATCTATCCCTCATCCTTGCCAGAGATTTTTCATGCACGGTTTCCGGATTCGGTCAGGTGTTTTTAGTGGACCGCGCGGGCTTCGCCGCTCGTTGCCTCGGCCTCTAGCAGAAGATATGTCAGCCTACGCTTGTCACCGAAGCATCCCACAGCAAGCCAAATACCGTTGTGTTAATTTAGTAATGAGGATGTTAGGTTCTACAAACTTTTCTTGTCGATGAGCAACAGTCGGGTTATTGGGATATTCTTTTCTTAGGATTTTCTTTATTTCCCGAATCAACAAAAGACATAAAAGACACTCACTTGAATGAATTGTCACTGACTCTCTTTATTCCCATGTTCGAAAAACATTGCAGAGAGCCTTGTCAAGGTCTTACCATGTAACCTGAAATGTCAAAAGTGACTCCAACTATTCTGTTATCATTGGGGCCGCTCAGATGGGTACTAAATGTAAATTGAAAAAGTGTGAGTCGTAGTTATGATCCGTCACGCAATTGATCTTTCAAACCATTGCGAGCCACCTTAAAAATGTTATCTCTATAGAAATTTCCTTATGATTTTAGCCGAATATAAATTTATGACTGTTCAAAGCACAAGTTAAAGCTCAGTTGAACAATAGCGATAAATAAGTGTTTCAGCTAGTTACTGAGGGCCGGAGAAATAACGACTCGAAGTAATCGGATGAAATTGGTTTGACTAAACACTTATTTTTGGTTCGAGGCACAAGGTCTATGTTTTCTGCTTTTTACAAAATTTACACTGGTTATCACTAAATAAATGGCCAGACCGTCAGGTGCCCCAAGGTGAAACTAAAGAAAACTGGACGAAATTTAGGACACTAGAATTGCGTTTTCTAGATCATAGGGCTCGATAAACAGTTTTTCGCCTAATATTTTGTGCTTTGTAATGTTGCATATTTATTATTTTGTATCTCTCGGCCTCGTTGTCTACTTTTTAGTCTGACTAATTTCTTTTCCCCTTTTTTAACAGGATATCCTTGTTAAAATATTGAAAATGGCCTCAAATAGGAGTGCCGTTTCTAAGAGGTAGAAGCAGTTTTTTGGGCAATCTATATTATTTTTATTAAAATATCGGCTGCTGTATTAATGTAAGGTTACGCTTGCTAATTAGGAAGAAGTCATATCACCTAAATGCAAAACTAAGCTATTTATCATATATTCCTTTTTAAAATTACAGCTCTCTTTTAAATGACCAGAAGTTGGCTAAGATAAATCGAGCCTTTCAGCATACTGTTCCAAAAGAAACTAAGGTCAATACTTAGCTAGATGCCTTGCCGCCAGCAGATTTAGTGAGGCATGTGGCGTAAGAGATTCATAATGGTGCGTTGAACGTGTCTCATTTTCCAGCTGTAGATCAGAGGATTGAGAGACGAATTGAGAAGAACCAGTGTATTAGCGTTAAGTCCTAAAAGGTATATCAGGGTATTCTGCAGCCCAGTGCTCAGATCGGCAATAATAACGCAAAGCATTGGCAGATAACAAGCCAAAAGCACAAGAAACACGTAAAATGCACCAACTGCACACTTCCGCTGTCTCGCAGTATTTGCCATCACTTCACCATTCTGCTCTGCTTGATGATGTACTTGGAGTCTGTTAATTTCAATTATGTGGTGCCTTGCTGATAAATAAATTTTCCAGTAAAATAATGCAGTGGTGATGATGCAAAATATCCCGATCGTAAAGGAGAAAATAGAATTTGCCTTCTGCGGTATGATCCAACTCAAACTTAGGAACGACAGAAAGCTGCTGAAAATCCAAATCGAGGTCATCAAAACAGCAACTCTCTTGTGAGTTACAAGTCCTTTGTATCGGAGATGAAAATGAATAGCCAAGAATCTGTCTGCGGCTAAAGCCACAACACCAAGGAAGGAAGCGTAAGAGAAAAGAGTCCCTGTTGTTAGAAACATCTGTTTTATTATATTATAAGTTTGAGTTTGAGTTTCTTCTTTAATAATCATAACAAGGCGTACGATGTATAAAGGCTGGACTATTAAACCGACACCAAGATCAGAAGCAGACAGACTCAGAAGCAATGCTTTTAAAGTCATCGGCAATGATGGAGTTTTTCTCAGTGCGTGAATTGTAACAATGTTCAACATGGTGCAGGTATAACTAAGGAAGCCATTGAAAACACAGTGAACAATGAACATGGAAGAGAAGTCTCCAAGTTCCGTCATTGTAGAAAAAGGCAACTCTGTAAAAGAAGGCTGAACGTTTTCGTTTTGCAACCAAAATTTGTTTTCAAGAACACCATCAATTTGTGTGAAAAAGGATTATAGCGAGCGCTGTTGCGCTAATTTCTAAATTATTTTCAATCTTTTGGTCCCGATAAATTGCTTCTCCAACTTACAAGTCATATCATGCTGTTCCACAAACGCTCTTCGATTTGCTCACTTTTTGAGGACATTTCTTCATTCGACTGAAACCATTGCAGTGTAAAAAAGTGCACTTTCTGCCTCAAATCTTCTTTGCACTCGTCTAGTAAGCTTGTAAAGTAGATGATTGTCAAGGTAGGGGCTGGCTGTTATGAAGTTTTTAAGTGTGTTTTTTTTTTTGCCTGAAACTGGTTATTTAGCTAGTTAGTTCCTTTGTTAACAGCCATATAAGTTGAAATTAACACCTGTAGAAAGAAGAATAACGTTTCTCTTGACGTGATGACAATCACTCTTTGACAGAGAGAGGCAAGTTATTAGACATTAGGAAAAGAATCCATTAAGAAGAGACACCTACTGAAGGTTGAATTACCATTAATTTGTCCTTCTAGCCAAAGTGTACACGAATTAGCAAAATATTGTCAATATGCATTGCAGTTAGCGAATCAGTTGGTAAATAACAGTAGGTAGCTAAAGGACCAAGGATAGCGTCAGGGTTTGCCAGCTGCACGGTTAATACAGCCAACTCTGGCCAAATCATCAGCACCCCGTCTATTGCATAAACGCGGCGTGCTAGAAGGAAAATAAAGGTGACTTTTGCACAAATTATTATTGAGTATAGAAACAAATCTTGCCCAGAAAATGTTTCGACGGACCGGACTATTTATAGATGGCAACCAAGATTGGAAAGCTGGAGCGTTTACCGTGTGCATTGGGAGAAACCCAGTAAATATGAATTCGAAACGACTCATTAAGAGGGAAAATTTCCGGCAAAAACAAAAAGCCTATGAGAAATTACCTGTTCTCGCTTTTACTAGAACGACAAAAAATTTTTTGTATCAGTGAATATGCCAGTACCAGTGAAGGATAATCTGAAAATTTTCACGGAAATTTCCGTGCAAGGTAAGGCAATACATCCCAAGATTGTGCCATAACTACGTCGCCATTATCTAAAATATGTAAAAATGACTACCAGCACGGCTGTAGTTGATAAAGATAAAAGTTTGTTATGTCTAGTGTCGATTAAGCTGACAACGGAGGACATATAACAACGAAGTGACGTCATTAGATATTTTACAAGCAGCATTTCTCGAGGCTGGGAGGCTTTTTTCCAAAATTGTTCCAGGAAGTTCGGGAAGTTTGAGCAAAATCTATGAAAGCGTTCTCGTGATATTTTGAGATGAATTTTTGTGGTTGAAAGTACAGTAAAAAATGGGCAATCTTATCTTTGCCGTTATCTGTGGAAAACAGAGCGCTTTTGAAATGCTATTTCTCCACATGGTAATATGCTCAACCTTGGGAGGTATTGCCCCTGAAAAACTCTATATCGAGCCATCTTAATAAACAGAAAAAACCTTTAAGACAGGTTACAGCCAGCGAGGGAAGCTACTTCCCCCACATTCTTGTAAATGCAATCAAAACGATGTTCTCACAACTTGCCAAGCGATTATCAAGGGTCTAGCCAGCGGATTTGTTTACTGATCATGCGCATTACGTCATATACCAAAGATAGACGGTTTTTTGAGAAGGAACAAAATCATGGCGGTCGAAGGCGGGACACTTTCTCCAGTAATTTTTGTCGGTATCATAACTTCTACCGCAAGGTGACCTCTTTGCAAGTTGAAGAACATCGTTTCTCGATCCCAGAACTAGTCTCTCTCCCCTCCCCAACTCCCTCCTCCTGGTTGCAGCCTTTCCTCCACTATCCTTCTTGTCCAGTCCATCGCAGCTGCTCGGGCCGGAGTCACGCAAGCTCCCCGCCCAATGATTAACATGATGTATTTGGCAAAACCTGCCGACAAAATGAACTATCAGCTAGAAGGGATAACAGTATTGTCTTACTCTTCTTTTGCGCCGCTCACTGGGCGCGGATGAATCTCGTCCCTCGCGGTTGCCCGTTGGTCTCGAAGGACTTTTTGACTCAACGCTCATTCCAGAATTTTATTAAGAAAACTGAAAATTTATCTACAATATGTTCTTTTTCTGCATTTTATTTCTAGTAAGGTTATGTCATTTAGGCTTACACAACAACATAATTATGAACGCGATTGTCTTAGGAAAGCACGTGAGGCGTACCTCATTCATACAGCCAAAACCATCAAGCCTCTTAGCAGCCACACCTTACCATGTCATACCATGTAACTTCCTTTTACTATTTTACAGTAGTATATATTCTGTATATTCGTGGTTTTTCCTAATAAACCTGAAGACGGGTATTGGCCAGTCGAAATATTGTTTACGTCAGCCTTTTTCACGTTGTTTGATCAGTCTTTGTAGTGGTCTTTTTGACTTTTTAAAATTCTGTTTTTAACATTGTTATGTTTAATTCATAGGAGGCGGGAATCAAGAATTTTCCTTTTGCAGGTGAAAACGTGGCAAATATTCCTCCGATAGCCCTCAGCTGATAAAATGAAAATTGCCATTATCGCTTATGTTTGTCTTTCTTTCAAAAATAGACAACTGATACCAAAATAAGGCATAGTACACGAAGATCATTTAAGTATGTGGTATGCAGACCATTCTCTGGTTCACTTAAACACATGGCGGTGATTTTCACGAGTGTGCATGCCTGTTCTGCTACTGACCGCATAAAGCGCCTACTAGCGAAAAACGCTTACACCTAGGACAACGACACACTTTTTATCACGATTTAATGAAAAGCTCCCTACTCATCTCAATATCAGTTTTGTTTACAAAGCTTTAGAATCTCATCTAGGAGGAAACAGGCCCAGAGGCTGTTTCTCGGGAAAGAAATTTTCCGCTAACCTTTTCTAGACCATCCTTGCGCAAGGGCTACATTGAAATCTTTTTTTTTTTTCCTCTGGTGGCCTGAATTTCGTAAGATTTTCAGTTAGAATCAGCCTGGTTTTAATACAAGCTATACAAGCTTCATCTCAGTTTTCAAAAAGGTAATCCATGGCTTCCTGTTCGATAGATTGGGGTGATCAGTAACGTATAATCTTGACCTTGGATTCAAACTTGGACGTAGTATGAAACAACTTCAGTTTACAGCTAATGACGAGGTCCAGTCCTCTGAACCAACGGTAAACTTTAAATAACGGGGATTTTCAAAAGTATTGCTTCCTTATACCCCCTCCCCCCACCCCCATCGACCTTTGTTGGAACTCTTTCGCGGCATCTACGACAAACACAAATGAGATTTTACTTTGATTTTTAATCAGACAACGGAATTAACTCACAAAAGTTCACATCTTAAACCACGCATTAAGCATTGCTGCCCTTTCTTGTAGTTCGCTAGGCATGTGGCGGTAAGTGCAATGCACCACCAAATTTATCAATTTTTCGTCTATTTGGCAAACGAACTTGAGAATTTTTTAAAAATGCAGTTTGATTATAGCTACAAGCGAACATTGACAGCTGTTTGAATCTAAAATCAGTCTCTCATTGATTACCTGAAGGAATACATTTTGAAAACACGTGTTTGAAAACATTTGCAAAAATTTCGCGGACCTCCCGAATTTTCCAGCAAATCACGAGTGGATTTAGACAGGTATTAGAAACAAAAAGAAACGATGACACATAAAAAAACAACGTTAACAAGGTGGAAGGAGTCTTTGAATATTCAAACATAGGGCATATCACTATCGAAGGTGCATCACAGATTACCAACACGAAAAAAGGGAAGACGTTTTCATTGCCATCCTCTTGGCGCGCGAAAAATGAGTTAATCGACAAATTTGATTCTGTTGACCGTCCTGAACACAAATTTGATTCTGATGATGTAGAGCAATGGTATAAATTTTCCAATAAGCGATCGAGGCTATAAAAATAACCAACACCATTCCGGAAGTGTTGATTATAACATTGAAACCCAGTAATGTCTCTAGTGTGGCCAGTAAGAATGATATCGTCCAGATAGCAGACACTGCGATACCAATTCGCCCTTGTTACCGAAGCATCCTGCCTCAAGCCAAATACCGTTGTGTTAATTTAGTAATGAGGATGTTAGGTTCTACAAACTTGTCTTGTCGATGAGCAACAGTCGGGTTATTGGGATATCTTTTTTTTCGGATTTTTTTTATTTCCCGAATCAACAAAAACATAAAAGACACTCACTTGAATGAATTGTCACTCTCTTTATTCCCATGTTCGAAAAACATTGCAGAGAGCCTTGTCAAGGTCTTACCATGTAACATGAAATGTCAAAAATGACCCCAACTATTCTATGATCATTGGGGTAGCTCACATGGGTACTAATGTAAATTGAAAAAGTGTGAGTCGTAGTTATGATCTATCAAGCAATTGATCTTTCAAACCATTGCGAGCCACAATTTAAAACTGTTATCTCTTCTGATTTTTGTCATTAAAGCACAAGTTAAAGCTCAGTTGAGCAATAGCGATAAATAAGTGTTTCAGCTAATGCTACGAAATTCCATTTTGCGAACATAGTTTGACTAAACAGTTATTTTTGGTTCGAGGCACGTACAAGGTCTATGTTTTCTGCTTTTTACAAAATGTACACTTCTCATCACTTAATAAACGGCCAAACTGTCAGGTGCTCCAAGGTGAAACTAAAGAAAACTGGACGAAATTTAGGACACTAGAATTGCGTTTTCTAGATCATAGGGCTCCATAAACAGTTTTTCGCCTAATATTTTGTGCTTTGTAATAAATGTTCCATATTTACTATTTTATATCCCTCGGCCTCGTTGTCTACTTTTTAGTCTGACTAATTTCTTTTCCCTTTTTTTAAATGGATATCCTTGTTAAAAAACTGAAAATGGCCTCAAATAGGAGTACCGTTTCTAAGAGGTAGAAGCAGTTCTTTGGGCAATCTATTGTATTTTCATTAAAATACCGGCTGCTGGATCGATTTATGCAAGGTTACGCTTGCTAATTGGAATGAAATTATCATGTAAATGCAAAACTATTTATCTATTTATTATTTATTATTTATAATTATTTCTTTTTAAAATTACAGCTCTCTTTTAAATGACCAAAAGTTGGCTAAAATATATCGAGCCTTTCAGCACATCGTTCTAAAGAAACTAGGTCAACACTTAGCTAGATGCCTTGCCGCCAACAGATTCGGTGAGGCACGTTGCGTAAGAGATTCATAATGGTGCGTCGAATGTGTCTCATGTTCCAGCTGTAGATCAGAGGATTAAGAGACGAATTGAGAAGAACCAGTGTATTAGCGTTAAGTTTTAGACGGAATATCAGGGTACTCTGCAGCCCAGTGCTCAGATCGGTAATATAAAGGCAAAGCATTGGCAGATAACAAGCCAAAAGCACAAGAAACACGTAAAGTGCACCAACTGCAGACTTCCGCTGTCTCGCAGTATACGCCAACACCTCGCCATTCTGCTGTGCTTGGTGTACTTGGAGACTGTTGATTTGAATTGTGTGGCGTCGTACGGATAAATAAATCCTCCAGTAAAATAATGCAGTGGCAATGATACAAACCAACTCGATCGTACTGTAAAAAAATTAATCTTGCCTTCTTTGGTATCATCCAACTAAAACATAGGAACGAGAGAAAGCTGCTGGAAATCCAAATTGAGATCATTAAAGTAACAACGCGTTTTCAAGTCACGATTTCTTGGTATCGGAGATGAAAATGAATAGCCAAGAATCTTTCTGCCGCTAAGGCCACAACACCAAGGAAGGAAGCATAAGAGAAAAGATTTCCTGTTATTAGAACCATGTGTTCTATTATTGTGTAAGTTTGAGTTTGATTTTTTTCTCCACTAATCATAATAAGGCGTACGACGTATAAAGGCTGGACTATTAAACCGACACCAAGATCAGAAGCAGACAGACTCAGGAGCAATGCTTTTAAAGTCATCGGCAATGATGGAGTTTTTCTCAGTGCGTGAATTGTAACAATGTTCAACATGGTACAGGTATAACTTAAGAAGCCATTAAAAACACAGTGAGCAATGAACAAGGAAGAGAAGACTCCAAGTTCCGTCATTGTAGAAAAAGGCAACTCTGTAAAAGAAGGCTGAAAGTTTTAGTTTTGCAACCAATTTTTGTTCATGTGAAAAAGGATTACAGAGAGCGCTGTTGCAATAATTTCTAAAAAATTATTTTCAATCTTTTGGTTCCGATAAATTGCCTCTCCAACTTACAAGTCATGTTATGCTGTTCCACAAACGTTCTTCGATTTGCCCACTTTTTGAAGACATTTCTTCATTCGACTGAAACCATTGCAGTGTAAAAAAAGTGCGCTTTCTGCGTTATCTTCGTTGGATCTCTTTGAACTCGTCTAACTCAAAGCGTGAAACAGATGATTGTCCAGGGAGAGGTAGCTGTTATGAAGTTATTAAGTGTTTTTTTTTTTTTTTTGCCTGAAATTAGATATTTATTTAGTTAGTTCCTTTATTAACAGCGATGGCGAAATTAACACCCGTAGAAAGATGACTAACGTTTCGTGGCAAGTTATCAGACATAAGGAAAAGAATCGATTAAGAAAAACCACCTACTGAAGACTGAATTACCATTAATTTATCCTTCTAGCCAAAGTGTACACGAATTAGCAAAATATTGTCAATATCCATTGTAGTTAGCGAATCAGTTGGTAACTCAGTGTAGGTAGCTAATGGACCACGGATAGCGTCAGGGGTTTTGCCAGCTGTACGCCATCAGCACTCCCTTTATTGCATAAGAGCGGCGTGCTAGAAGAAAAATAAAGGTGACTTTTATTTTACACAAATTATTATTGAGTATAGAAACAAATCTTGCGCAGAAAATGTTTGGACGGACTGGACAATTTATAGATGGCAACCAAGATTGGAAAGCTGGAGCGTTTACCGTGTGCATTGGGAGCCTGAACCCAATAAAAATGAAACGGCTCATTAAGAAGGAAAATTTCCGGCAAAAACAAAAAGCCTATGAGATATTACCTTTTTCCTCGCTTTTACTAGAACAACAACAAATGTTTTTATCAGTGAATATGCCAGTACCAATCAAGGATAATCTGAAAATTTTCACGGAAATTTCCGTACAAGGAAAGGCAATACATCCCAAGATTGTGCCATAACTACGTCGCCATTATATAAAATATGTAAAAATGACTACCACGGCTGTATTTGATAAAGACAAAAGTTTGTTACGTCTAGTGTCGATTAAGCTGGCAACGGAGGACATATAACAACGAAGTGACGTCATTAGATATTTTACTTGGCGAAACTTGGCGGCTTTTTTCCAAAATTGTTCAAGGAAGTTCGGAAAGTTTGAGCAAAATCTATGACAGCGTTCTCGTGATATTTTGAGATAAAATGTTTATGTTTGAAAGTACAGTAAAAAACGGGCAATCTTATCCTTGCCGTTAAGCGCCTTTGATTTCACCACATCGGTAATATGCTCAACCTTGGGAGGTATTGCCCCTGAAAAACTCTATATCGAGCCATCTTAATAAACAGAAAAAACCTTTAAGACAGGTTGCAGCCAGCGAGGGAAGCTACTTCCCCTACATTCTCGTAAATGTAATCAAAACGATGTTCTCACAACTTGCAAAGCGATTATCAAGGGTCTAGCCAGCGGATTTGTTTACTGATCATGCGCATTACGTCATATACCAAAGATAGACGGTTTTTTGAGAAGGAAAAAAATCATGGCGGTCGAAGGCGGGACACTTTCTCCAGTAATTTTTGGCGGTATCATAACTTCTACCGCAAGGTGACCTCTTTGCAAATTGTAGAACATCGTTTCTCGATCCCAGAACTAGTCTCTCTCCCCTCCCCCACTCCCTCCTCCTGGTTGCAGCCTTCCCTCCACTATCCTTCTTGTCCAGTCCATCGCAGCTGCTCGGGCCAGAGTCACGCAAGCTCTCCGCCCAATGATTAACATGATGTATTTGGCAAAACCTGCCGACAAAATGAACTATCAGCTAGAAGGGATAACAGTATTGTCTTACTCTTCTTCTGCGCCGCTCACTGGGCACGGTTGAATCTCGTCCCTCGCGGTTGCCCGTTGGTCTCGAAGGACTTTTTGACTCAACGCTCATTCCAGAATTTTATTAAGAAAACTGAAAATTTATCTACAATATGTTCTTTCTCTGCATTTTATTTCTAGTAAGGTTATGTCATTTAGGCTTACACAACAACATAATTATGAACGCGATTGTCTTAGGAAAGCACGTGAGGCGTACCTCATTCATACAGCCAAAACCATCAAGCCTCTTAGTAGCCACACCTTACCATGTCATACCATGTAACTTCCTTTTACTATTTTACAGTAGTATATATTCTGTATATTCGTGGTTTTTCCTAATAAACCTGAAGACGGGTATTGGCCAGTCGAAATATTGTTTACGTCAGCCTTTTTCACGTTGTTTGATCAGTCTTTGTAGTGGTCTTTTTGACTTTTTAAAATTCTGTTTTTAACATTGTTATGTTTAATTCATAGGAGGCGGGAATCAAGAATTTTCCTTTTGCAGGTGAAAACGTGGCAAATATTCCTCCGATAGCCCTCAGCTGATAAAATGAAAATTGCCATTATCGCTTATGTTTGTCTTTCTTTCAAAACTAGACAACTGATACCAAAATAAGGCATAGTACACGAAGATCATTTAAGTATGTGGTATGCAGACCATTCTCTGGTTCAGTTAAACACATGGCGGTGATTTTCACGAGTGTGCATGCCTGTTCTGCTACTGACCGCATAAAGCGCCTACTAGCGAAAAACGCTTACACCTAGGACAACGACACCCTTTTTATCACGATTTAATGAAAAGCTCCCTACTCATCTTAATATCAGTTTTGTTTACAAAGCTTTAGAATCTCATCTAGGAGGAAACAGGCCCAGAGGCTGTTTCTCGGGAAAGAAATTTTCCGCTAACCTTTTCTAGACCATCCTTGCGCAAGGGCTACATTGTAATCTTTTTTTTTACCTCTGGTGGCCTGAATTTCGTAAGATTTTAAGTTAGAATCAGCCTGGTTTTAATACAAGCTATACAAGCTTCATCTCAGTTTTCAAAAAGGTAATCCATGGCTTCCTGTTTGATAGATTGGGGTGATCAGTAACGTATAATCTTGACCATGGATTCAAACTTGGACGTAGTATGAAACAACTTCAGTTTACAGCTAATGACAAGGCCCAGTCCTCTGAACCAACGGTAAACTTTAAATAACGGGGATTTTCAAAAGTATTGCTTCCTTATACCCCCTCCCCCCACCCCCATCGACCTTTGTTGGAACTCTTTCTCGGCATCTACGACAAACACAAATGAGATTTTACTTTGATTTTTAATCAGACAACGGAATTAACTCACAAAAGTTCACATCTTAAACCACGCATTAAGCATTGCTGCCATTTCTTGTAGTTCGCTAAGCATGTGGCGGGAAGTGCTAGCACCACCAAATTTATCAATTCCTCGCCTGTATTTGGCAAACGAACTTGAGAATTTTCTAAAAATGCAGTTTTGATTATAGCTACAAGCGAACATTGACAGCTGTTTGAATTTAAAATCAGTCTCTCATTGATTACCTGAAGGAATACATTTTGAAAACACGTGTTTGAAAACATTTGCAAAAATTTCGCGGACCTCCCGAATTTTCCAGCAAATCACGAGTGGATTTAGACAGGTATTAGAAATAAAAAGAAACGATGACACATAAAAAAACAACGTTAACAAGGTGGAAGGAGTCTTTGAATATTCAAACATAGGGCATATCACTATCGAAGGTGCATCACAGATTACCAATACAAAAAAAAGGGAAGACGTTTTCATTGCCATCCTCTTGGCGCGCGAAAAATGAGTTAATCGACAAATTTGATTCTGTTGACCGTCCTGAACACAAATTTGATTCTGATGATGAAGAGCAATGGTATAAATTTTCCAATAAGCGATCGAGGCTATAAAAATAACCAACACCATTCCGGAGGTGTTGATTATAACATTTAATCCCATTAATGTCTCTAGTGTGGCGAGTAAGAATGATATCGTCCAGACAGCAGACACTGCGAAACGAATTCTCGCTGAAGTCACTAATTGAGTGTATTTTAAATGCAGGTACAGGGAAAGATATTTGTCTATTGCAATGGCTCCAATTGTTAAAAGTAAAGCTCCACTGAAGAAAATGGAAACGAATATGGCCGCCTTGAAGAGAGGGCATGTTTTCGTCATATTTTGGTCGTGTAAACTGTCATTACTGCTCACGAGTCCCAGCATTTGCAACATCAGGGCCGCATGAAGGGGTAAAACAAACAAGCCCACGCCGAGATCAGAAGCGGCGAGGCTAAGAAGAAGCATTCTTGACATCTGTGATGTATGGTTCAGTGACTTCGAAATCCAAAACGCATAGAAGACGATCGAATTTCCAATAATCGCTATAAGCGATAATGCTATACAGGCAACACCGTAAAATAAGCCGAAGCCCGGATGCTCATACAGCATGATTAATGAAGACTTCGTAAGATGCAGGCACTGATTCATTTAGGATGTGCTGGCTAGAAACATTAACTTTCAGGCTTCAGTTTGAGTTGGTCTGAAGTCACCCTGTGAAATAAATGCAATTACTTATTAATTACTGATGAAATAATTTTGTTAAAGCTTTCTATGAACTTCCACTCAATTTTGATAATAAAGGATTTCATGTAACTGGCAATATTAATTAAAGAGTAAGCGATAAAAATTCATAAGAATCAGTCCGTAAATATCGTAAAATACGGTTTTCAGTTCAAAGTGTTGCTGAAGATTAAATCACTCTAGAGTCCAATATAGTCATATCACAACCTTCCTCAGAACATAAATCTGTTATATATGATATGTCAACCCCTTATGAGTTTGTCGCGGTACAATTATTAAGACATAATGATATTACCCTCTTATATGCTTATCTTATTTACTTAAGGCTTGATTTTATAAGCACAAACTCAGGTCCTCGATACGTTAAATGGAACTGTATATTAATGGAAGATGTACTCATGCATCTATGATATCTAATGTGACCGAAACTAAAAATAATCACCTCGGGATATTTTACCTCGGCGGCTCGCTGCTTGATGCCGCAGATATTGGGACTCCTTATCTCCCGGCAGTATTGGCTTTCTTGTACCGATTTACATTGAGTTTAGCTACGTTGTAGGTTAGTTCTTCAATTTCCCCCGAAATTGTCTCTTAAAGTTTTCCTTGATTTTCGTTGACCTCAGTAATGTTTCGGTGAATTTTCAGCGATTAAAATTGCTTTAATAATTGTTTTTCTCCGTTCAATAACAATTACTGCCTAATTGTCCTTCTGCCTGTTTACGTCAACCGAGAAAATGTTTCCACAAGCCTCGATGGTGAACAAAATTGTTCGCATTTGCACTCAGTTAGAGCATGTGAGGTTTTCAAAACAATTAACCACCTGATTAACTGTCATAGAAATTCATCTTTAGTGAAACTTGGCAGATTTAGAGTTTCGAAATTGAATTTTGCAAGTCTGACGTTGACACGCATAAGGGCTATTGTCATTGATTTCCTACGAACACAAAATCGCAAATTAAGGTTATGAACACTGGTAATGCGAAATATTGTTCTCTAACAACTTGTAAACAGGGGAAGTTCTTCCACTATTTCCTGTTGTACAAATACACCTGGCAAATTTGAATAATTAAGCTTAAGGAACTGGAAATAAGTTGGTCCTTTGGTGTTCGATATCCGGGAGGCGTGCTCGATTGGAGTTTTAATTTTGTTCTTTCTTTTTTTCAGTTTGAGCTTATTGTTTTGCCTTGTGTTAGGGAAGTAGTGTAGGAGTGAGCGGGACAGTAATTGATGTTTAGACGACCTGTGCGGAAGTTAGATCTTGAGCCACTGTCAAACGGACAACAAAACGTGAATAAAAAACAATCTTTCAAATAGGTGCGGGATCGCCCAAAACGTGCTACTTGTTTTTGAAAAGGGAATTGCACGTTTTTTACCACTTCGCTCAAACCTGTCGTGCACTGAACAAATCAGGTTTCTGCAAGCTGCGACAATAATCATGACTTCCATATATTTATCTAAGAACACTATAATAAACGCCTAAAATGCTTTTTAACGGAAACTGGAGAAGATGAGTTGGCGATCTCGGTGCGGAAAATGTTTAAAATTAGTTCTTTCACAAACGACGCAAAATTGTTTGATGGTAGTCCAAAAGAGACGCAAACGAAATTCCTGCGAGTTTCTTGTATAATAAAAATGGATTTGCCTCTGTAAGGTAAATACAGAATATGGTTTTGATGGTTTTATTTTACATGAATCTCTTGTGTAAAAATGCGTGATTTTCGCCAATCTTAGCCGGTAACCTATTCGAGAGGAATGAATTTTGTCCTGCACTTAATATCGCCGGTTGATAGGCGAGGCCTATGAATTCATAACTGCTTAAAAAACACCTGCAAATATTTCTAACTTCAGTGCAAATGAACTTCTCGTTACCTACCTTTTCTTTGGTGTAAACTTTTATCCGCTTGAGTTAAAGAGGAGTCGTGGATTCCAAAACATGTTAAGTGTAAAAGGATGATCGGTCAAAGCGCAGGGCGAAGAGCACTTTGAATAATTTGCGGAAATATCCAGCTAGTCACTTAACAAACATCTCATCATATGTGCGTCATGCTAAAAGTTCCTTATGAAATATAATTTCAAGCGACAGAGCTAATAACAGGAGCCATTAAATAATTAACTTGCAATAGAAGGGCAATTTTTGACGACAAAATTCTTACAAATCTGCTAAGCAAAATATTTTTCAAATAAATACACAACACCTCTAATAACCAGTTGTAATACATTTTATGAGACTTTCCTAGAATACGCCGACAGAGCAAGGGCAAGATGACGTCTCCGTCAAAACCGCAGGAGACGGGCCATCAGACATGTATATATATATACATACATTTCAGTTCAAATTTTGCATGACAACCTAAATTGAAATTGAGCAAAAAATTCATGTTCGACAATTAGTTATCATGTTTCATCAAACGTCACTCTACAGTGCTCCATTTCTCCCAAATTGCTTCTTGAAAATTTCGGCAAAGTTTGCTTACGATTAAATATTAACTAATCTACACGCAGTTGTCTATAAAACTTAGTCCAAGAAAACAAGTACTGTAAAGTAGATAAAGGCACCGCACGTAGACCAATCCCTATTTTCATTGAATTGATCATTACCATAACTTAACTCTAACACAGATAATAGGACAAAGGAAAACAGAATCATTCGTTCAAACATTAGGCCCTCAACAAAACTACCGAATTTTAAAATTCATGAAGACTGCTAGTCAAGGAATTCTTAATTTCTGCAGGCAATCTTTAATTTTTTTGCAAATCTTGTCAACATATGCGAAGTTAGAAGGGGCGTCTGGACAAAATAGGCCACAATTTATTTTAAATTTTTAAATCAGCCTTTTTTTCTTATTTTTAGACAGCAGTTGTATATGGATATTTATCACAAGCTACTCTATGCAAATCATGATTTTTGCTTACGATAATATGCTGCTGGCGGTCCAAGTGAGTTTACCAAAATTTTTAGAACATTCGCCATCTTTTTTTCAATTTCAATTCGCACTCTTCAAGCGGTGCTAGACTTTCACGAAACGTGAGGGAATTTATTAATTCTAGGCATTAGACATTATATTGAAAACTCACGTTATTGAAGAACATTATTTTTTTTGTCTTTTCAAACTCATGTAGTGCATTCGTTTCCAGATTGGCTTCTGAAACTGTCCAGAGAAATTCAGCAAAACTTTCATGATTGTCTACCATTTTCTTTTTTGGATTAAATCCTCTCCGCACCGTTATCAACAAAATAAAACTGAGGGGAACAAAACCCCTGATGTCGGATGTTGAAGGATGTTACTAAAACGGGGAACGGGGAGCGGGGAGCGGGGAGCGGGGAACGGGGAACGGAAGTCTGGGAACGAGTTGTCAGCGGAAACCTCCATAAAAATCCAATATGGCCGATGATCGATGATAGAGAACCGTCGAAACAAACTTAACCAATAACGGCGTTACTTTACTTGAACTATATGCTCATGAGGTGCTTGAAATAATACGGAGGTAATAACTTCATGACGTTTTTCACCTTTTTGCGTTTTACTAAACAATTATCCGTAGGAAACAAAATGTGCTCCAACAGCAGTTGAAAAAAGCCAATCGGGACAAAAACTCTCAAAGCACATGTACAGCCATATTTGGAACTCAAGCGAATCTATACTGAGTCTAGCCCACAAAGCAATTAACTACTTTTCCATGATAGATAACATACATCGAAGTAGTCAAGTAGCTTGTGTGCAAACTTCTTCTATTTCCTTTGATAGAGATGACTGCTTTGAAAAATGTTATTGACCACGTCATCACATAATTAGTAAGACTACTTTAACAATCTGGTTCTGCTTTTAATATGATTAGATCTACTACACTGCAAGCATTCATGATATTGAAGTGTTTCACTGATCCATGAAAATAAAATAATATCATTTTATTATTTTGTGAAACAATTTGTTTCAGGTCAGTTTGCCCAGTATAGACCAGTATAATGACCCTAATGGAACCTAATTCACTCATTTTCCTCACCCTAATCAGTAACTGCTTCAAAGTCGTACAGTGGCCATTTGTCTTTCTGCGAAATACCCTGACGACCCTTTCCTGAATCAAAACCATTGGATGGCATTGAATGCAACATTCTCACTCACTGCAGATCCTCAATTAACCCCCGCCCCCTAAGAATGAGATCCCAAACCCCTCCCTTTTGAAGAAAAATGTCGTAAAATAATCAAAGTACCTCTTCATGGGCACGAAACGTTTGGTGCAATTCATACCATACAATATCGCTGTATCAAGTACTGTTCTCGGTGCAGGAGGAGGGGGTACTATAATGGCCTAAACAGAGCCTGAAGCCTTTTTCAGGCTTCAGGTACATGAAAGGGAAGGGGTTTTTATAGTTGAAGTATATGAAAGGGACCAAAATGAGATCAGTCACAGATGCATTTTATGGATGTGAGAGACAAGAAAACCTGTTTTTGTAAAGATGGTGTATTTACAGCAGTTAAAAAGGGATGCAGCGTTCAAAATTAGGTATGTGAAAGGGGTACCATTTGTCACAAGAGGGTATACAAAACGGGTACCTTTTCTGTCTAAAATGGTACATACAAAGGGTAAAGGGTTGGTCCCTGGGGCAGAGCCTCTTTGGTGAGTACTCACCACCCCCCCTCCTCTCTGGGTTACTGTTACTCTAGTCTGATTCTTCTCTTTAATTTCTTTGATACTGTGCTTCATTAAATGAATTAAAATTCATTTAAAAGCTTCTTGCCCCTTTTTTGAAAACCCCAATATGTTAAAAGAAATTATGTCCCCTGGAGGGGAAATAAAATCAGGGAAAATGGGTAGCAAGATCTATTGTGTTATTTTACATGCATTGAGTAAGCGTAATGTGGAAACTATACACATACAGTTGCGCGTTTTTACTGAAAAACATATCGGCACTCCAATCTTTTGCGTCCCATCACTTGTGTGAGACCTTAGACTCTTTATTTCCAAAACTACAGACAGCTTGTTTGAAGGCTTATCAACCACCTTCTAATAAGCTGCCAGCCTCTGCAACATTGATGATGTGATGCTTGATGGTAGGTGCACTGCAATATTACTGAATCAAGCTAATAAAGCAGCTTGACAATATTAACTGGTTTAAGTCACTGACACATTCAGTTTTACACTGAGCTTGAAATATTTTTCTCCACAGTAAAAATAATGTTCATTAAAGAGAAGCAGAGCTCCCCTCTGCAAAAACATTAAAGGAGTGCCCCTAGAAAAAAAAAAAAAGCATCCAGAGGGCTAAACAGAGGAAGTATACTTACCATGCATATTTTAACAGCCAGCCTTTAGAAAGTACCTTCCAACCAAAGACTTCAAAGTACTTCCCCCACGTATACTTGCAACACTTAATATTGCAGCTCAGTTGTGGTTCACTTTTATCCTAAGTTTGAATTTTATTCTCTTTGTTTTGAACTCATAATCATAAAATTCATAATTTAAATTTGTTGTTTAGTAAACCTAGGTTATAATTAAATAAAACCACAGCATAGCCATTTGCTTTGAAACAACTGATATCTTTAAGACCAAGGTATGATTGATGTTCCCGGCACATTGCCCGTTAATATGTTTGAAGTTGCCTTTTATTGATGTATTAAATAACCTGATCCATCTTATCTTTTCAAATAATACAATTGCACTTACTTCTCATCATAGGATTGTAAATATAATATTATTAGACTTACAGTTTTATCTCATCGCCAACATGTTTTAATTTGGGCTTGAAAAAACGCTACAGCTAAGAAGGAGCTCCACTGCTACACTATTACTGTCGAGGAAATACACCTGGCTGCTTCGATCTACGTTATCTTTCAGCATGTATTTAAGCCAAAACCCTACGAAAAGTGTCAAGCAAAAGTAGTTCATTGCCTTGTGAGTTAGACCCAGTATAGATTCGCTTGAGTTCCAAATATGGCTGTGCTTTGAGGGTTTTTGTCCCGACTGTAGCTTCTTTCAACTTCTGTTAGAGCATATTTTGTTGTTTAGTAAAACGCAAAAAGGTGAAAAATGTCATGACATTATTACCTCCGTATTATTTCAAGCACGTCATGAGCATATAGTTCATTAGTAAAATGGCGACCTTAAGTGTTGTTTCGACGCTTCTCTATCATCGATCTTACCGGGTCGTTGATCCTTACCGGCCATTTTGGATTTTTATGGAGGTTTCCGCTGACAACTCGTTCCCAGACTTCCGTTCCCCGTTCCCCGTTCCCCGCTCCCCGCTCCCCGCTCCCCGCTCCCCGTTCCCCGTTTTAGTAACATCCGATGTTGAAGTCAGTCAAGTTATCAAGTAGCATAATAATGATTGATATCATTGATGCTAATTTCTTTGCTCCACTATCACAGACTATCATCCGTAGAGCTTGGGCAAAGCCTAGAACTAACTTAATACCATCGCTTAGCTTGGAGGCATAATGTTCGAAATGGGACTGTTTTAGAGTCGATAATCTCTTTTAATATTATTACAAAACGGTTTTTTTTGGAGTTTCCTTGGCAAAAAGTCTTTTTCTTCTTTAATATGTGTATAGACTGCTATAATCAGTTTCATCATGGTTAAACTAGGGTATTGAATTGGCTTAACAAACCACTCTGTAGATTTTCCAACTCCAGCTGTCGTTTTTTTTTTCTTGCAAGAAATAACGTTGCGTAGAAGACAAGCGATCTCACGATCAAACATTGTTTTCAATAGAGATCGTTTGTATCTACTGTCCTGAGGTGACTCTGATAGTGCAAGAGAAGCCTTCGTGTTTTTCCTTAAAACGCTCGTTTGAAGATGCTGATTGATTTTGATGATCTCCACGCCAATAAAAAGTGGTTGATTGTTTTTGGTTAGCTCCATTATGAATCGAATCTTTATATCCGGATGGGAATTGTTTAGTGTTGCTAGCTAGGAAGACAGTGGCATCATAATGGTCACTTAAGGCTAGCTTGTCATCCACGTACCTCTTACAGAAACTAGTAAGCTTGTTCTCATGCGCAAGTTTCTTTGCAGTGGAACACATAAGCGCGTTTAATAAGGC